CAACACATCTTTTGAATGATGCAGATGATGGAAATAAAATAAAAGAGAGGAAAAAATGAAAAGAGTTAGTAAGGTAAAGATAATAATTAAAGCAATCATGAAAATAAAAGTCCTACCCCACATGATATCTACCCCACATGCTTATTATTCCTACCCGAACATGATCTCTATCCCGCAAGTTGATTTTGAACAAGTCCTAACCGCATAAATTTCTAGTTCACATGTTTTGAACAGAAAGTAAAGTAGAAAATAATTTCGGTATCCTAGGGTTTAAAACGAGGTTTTGGGGCGGGCCCTAACTCCTTGTAGTCTCCGGGTTTAGGTTCTAAAAAAAAGGTACTCGAGTTCTCCTTGTCGGTGCCCCCTTGGGCTTACCAGACCCTTAGTCCTAAACCCATCACAGGCTTGTGTGGACTAAGTTAAACTTGAGAGGAAACACTCCCTTATGCCCATACGGAGAATAAATTCACACGAAGGCATAAGGTATATGAATCCCGAATGTTACTTGCTAGGCCCATACGATGAATAAATTCACACGAAGGCGTCGCTTTCACCCCCACTTAAAACGGGTTCGGAGCTCGGGTATAGAGCCTTTGGATGAAAAATCTTTAAGGACTGAAATCATTAAAAAACGGTCAGTACAACTATTTACTCGAAAATATAATCAAAAGTAAGTAATAAGGATCGAAATGTTACCTTAAAATTTAAACTTACCCTTTTCATTAAAAAGACAACTGGAAATTACCTTAGCCTGACTCACTTACCTGTGTCCCAGCGGAGTCGCCAAGCTGTCGTAACCGTATTTCGGTTGGGTCCCGGGATTGGGCTTCGACTTGAAAAATATGGATTGGGAGTCACCACCGATCATTTATTTAAAAATAAATGGGTTGATCGGATACCCTATTTCTTACCTGATCTGCGTCTTACCAGAAATATGTCGGGCTCGGGAGTCGGTTACGGTTAAGGAAGGATTAGCACCCTTGAACCGCCCTTTCGGTACTACGTAATTTCCCGTTGTCTTAATTAAGAAAATTGTAATTTTAAATTAAAAGGTAAAATTTGATAATGAATTACTTACTTCTGATTAATTGACGAAAATACCCTTAAAAAATCATAAGATGTGTCAGAGGGAAAAAATGAATAAATGAAAAAATGAAGAATAAAAATAAGAAAAAAAATAAAAGGAAAAATAAATAAATAAATAAATGAAATATATATATGTATATATATATAAATGAGTAAAATAGAAAAATAATAATCATAACAATAATAATAGTAATATGAAAATATAATATAATATAAAAAAACCAAAAACAAAAAAATAAATATATAAACCAAATATAAAAATATACATATAATGATAATTGGCTTATAAATAAACTATTTAAAACATACATATATATGTATAATGATAAAGTAAAAAAAACTAAATAAAGATAATTACAATTATATACATATATATAGTAATAATACGCTTATAAGTAAAATATTTTAAAAAAAGTATATATATATAAATAATAAATATAGTATTAAAAAATAACCAAATGAATATAAATAAATAAAAAATATATGTATAGATAATAATAATATATAGTGCAAAAAAATCAATTTAAAATCATTTAAAAGAACATACGTATATATATTTATATAATGACAATAATGTAAATAATAAATAAATAAAAATATCTATACAATAAATAAAAGGACTAATATAAAGAAAAATAAAGATTGGGGCCAAATTTGAAAGACAATTAACGTTGATATTACGCATTAGGGGGATAAAAAATGAACACGCCTCGGGGTAGATCTATGTTTGAAACTTCGAAACCCCACCCATTTTTTGTCATCGGCGCAACCCACGTTTTGGGTTATTGGAATCAAATCTCAAAAAAAATAACGTGCACATGCGAGAAATGAACGAATCAAAAAAATGTTACTTTTTATTTCCTTTTCGAATCGTTTACAATAGCTTTGCCTTTGTATTTTCTGTGTTTTCCTCTGTATTTTGTCTGTAAATCGTCTCCTACAATAGTGAGTTACAATGACTATTTATAGTGCTTGTGGATCCTATCTTTAGGAGTTTAAATCATAGTAGAACTTTATCCTATTTTAAGGAGTTTGAATCCTAGCAAAATTCTATCCTATTTTTAGGAGTTTGAATCCTAGTAGGACGAAAAGGTGTGTTCACATATATAATTCAAATTCATCTTAAAAAAATACAAAGTTATCTCTCTATTTCTCATGCATCTTTTTGTCCTTCTTTTAACTTTCTTTATTTTATAACATAAGCACATGTTTTATTTTATGAAAATCTCCTAAAATATGTTATCTTTATTATTATTATTATTATTATTATTATTTATGATGAGATTGGAGGTGGATGATTTGTGATGGTTTATTTTACTAAAATACAATAGAAATTAAGTGGAGAGTATGATGATTTGAGTTAACTGAGAAAAAATATCGAAGTTAATTGAGATAAGAAAAAGATAAACAAAAATATTTTATTTCATCAATTGAACCTTTATATAACTTAATATCATGAGATCTCATATGATACAAAGAAATCGGACACTTTAGAACAATTAGGATGATAAGATCAACCTAAGTGGTTCGACATTATAATAAGATGTAAGATTGTTTTTTAAAAGAAGATAAAGTCTAAGATTATTTTGTCTAAGTGATTATAACTATGTCGATCATGAAAAATATTTTGAAGATAAAACGAGGATGATTGAAGTTAAAGAGAGAACTAAAATAACATCTCTTCCTTGCCTACTTGAGTCTTTATATAGATTAACGATATGAGGAAAAGAGGACGAAGAGATCAGTGTAGGTAGTTCGACATCACGATAGGTTGTATTTGTCGGGTGATGATAGAGCTTAGAACTACTTTGTCAGACAAATTATTATTGTTATATAGTCTATAGAGACTATCTTAGAGAGCCCAGGAGGATTGTTCGCTACATGTAGTCTGGATTGTATTAGAATTTATTTGATTTTTTTAATAAAAAACCGTTGGTTTTATTAAAATTAGAAAATATTTAAAATTACAATGAAGATTTACGAGTATAACCGTAAACGTAAACTAAATTATAATTAGGACATTTTCATATAATCATTAACACAAAAACTAGTCACCTAGACCACACAAAGACCATAAAAGGAAAAGGTTAAGAAACTTAACCAATGTTCAAATAAAATAAAGATACTAACAATTCGACCGCATTGGTAAACGAACTACAAAAGATGATGAAACTACTGAAAGATTACCGTCAAATCGAAGATCAGAGTCAAGTGACTTGAGAAACCTATCTACGAGCGTAAAACGCGTATCCAAATCAATTCGAGGGTCTAAAGCAGGAAAGATCAGCAGAAAAACAAATAAGCACATCTTGATCAGTCGTGGCGATGTCAAATACTACCTTGTGAAAAAAGATAAATGAAAAAAATGGTAAAAAATCCCGTAAGCTACCAAAAGACAGAGAAAAACATGTCACAAAGATAGAGATAAACATGCTATAAAGGCAGAAAACATGTCACAAAGACATAATTATTCTTATTAAAAACTAAAAAACAAAGAAAAAAGATAACCGAATGACGACAACCAACATCAAAACCGTAAAACTTATTAGTTTAATAATTTATAATAATATAATTTGTTAAGGTTAACATATGATACAATATTTTTTTATTAAGAAACGTATAATACTTTATAAGATAATTATTGGTTTGGTCTTGGGAAATTGTAACAATGCAAAAAATTTGACCCATTTTTTCTTTTCTATCATGTGAGAAAGCAGTCATGGAAGTTGAGAGTGATGAAAGGTTGCTGGCTTAAGTTGGAAAATGGAAGTTGTGGGTATTTAGATTTAGGTTCAGGAAATAAAAAAGTGAAAGAAAATAACTAAAAGTATTTTTATTGTAACTATGACTTGTACCAATTATAAACTAAATTTGGGTATTTTATAGCTCAAATATAACAACTTAAAACAAATTAACAAACTAACAACTAATTACAACTTATTTCTAACCCATTCTAATTAAAAAATTTAAAATTTATATTTGATGCAATGTAATGAAAACATGTAAAATAAATTATTTGATTTCCAGCAAGTGGATGAAAAGACAAGAATGGGTGATTGGATTGGGTATTATTAAATAATTTGGAAAATTCTAAGTCCACTGAATCAAGAAATGACATCTGTTGAGAGGACGGGGATGAGTGTGATTGGATTTGTGTTGAAAAATATGTCGACTGTGGCTGTCGCTGGAGTTCATGTGGTCTCAAGCAATGCAATAAACTTGGGAAGTGGGAAAGCCAACAACTTGGAGCATGCAGCACGCGTAATAACTTGGTACATGATCATTCAGCCAATGGGTTTGAAAATGAAAATGGGTAAATGAGATCGCATGGAAATTATGTTCCCAGCTGTCTTGGATTTCACTCCTCCAAAAGACTAAGGAAGACACGTATGTAGTAGGTCCACAATTGTTATGCCAACTAGTGGGAGCGATTGGCGTAATTCACACCAACTACTTAATACTATCAAATCTAAATTTATAAGGTTGAATCAACTTTAATTGTCTAATGATATTTCTAGTTTTAAATTTTTAAAAAAAAATATTTTAGTCTATAAATTTTATTTTGGTCTTTTTAGTCTTGAAATTTTTAATTTAATTACCAATTGAATTAGATAAAATAGTTACCAATTTTTAGTCTTGAATTTTTTAATTTAATTACCAATTTAATTAGATAAAAATATAAAATAGATGACGCCAACAAATACGTTTGATATTTTTTTGTTAATTGACTATTTTTTCTAAAAAGTTCGATGCTTGAGCTGAGCCAGTTTGATAGAATAGTTTGGTCGAAGAAAAGGAGCAAGCATTTCATAAAGTGAATGCCTTTTATTGTCAATACGCTACCTAATTTCTGAGCACTTATATGAAGCACTAAGTTGGAGGTGATAATTACGTTTATTTTAATGGAAACATAGGCTCTTAGATCTTTTGCCCATTTGCATTTGTAGCGCAATTTCACAGAAACCAGCAGCCATCATCACTACAACAAATTTATCAATTTATGATAAAATTTCTATATGACGTTATATATATCACAAAACATATTATAATACGATCTTTTTTATATTTGTCATATTTATTGATTAATGGTATATCTTTTATTATAATTTTAAAATTAGTCATTGATTTTTGTCACTATTTATTTGGCGTCAAAATCTTCCTACCAAATTTTTAGATGGGAAACCTTTTAATGACATTTAGATAAAATAATGACGTTGTAAAATTATCTCCAATAAAAAACATGTATTAATGACGATTTATTATAATGACGATTCAATTTTAATTAGTGGTGTTGCACATTTGTCACTAATAAATTTTATTCGTGACAATTTAATTTGTCATATTTTATAAGACACTAAAAGTGACATCTTATTATTGTCACAAAAGTGACAATTTAATTATTGTCATATTTGAAGTTAGCTTGCTTATTTTGTTTGGAGAAGCTTTACACGTGAACCAATTATTTCTTTTAGGAATTGCAACTTTTTTAATAATAAAAAAATTCTTTAATATTCATTCTAAAACAATTCTTTAAAATATATTAAAAAATTATTTAATATATGTTAACAGACATTTTTTTAAAATACATAGAAATAAATATATTTATTTAAATTATTTTTAATAATTATTTAAATTGAATATTCTTTATTTTTAATAACTATTTTAAATTAATTAAATTATTTTTAATTTATCTAAATTTTCTTTATCTTTCTAATTTTTAATAATTATGTTTAGATATATTAGAGGTAATTTTTCAACTTCCCTCCAAATAAATAGTACAACAGAAATGTTCTTTAGCGGCGTTTTGAGAGTAAACGCCACTAACTTTAAACATATAACAACATTTACATTCCAAATGCCACAAAATGGCAACTTTAGCGGCGTTTCTTTACAAACGCCGCAATAGGGTTCATCTGTAGTGGTGTTTTTCGATAAACACCGCATCAAAGACTTACTTTAGCGGCATTTTTATACAAACGCCGTAATAGGTCCATCTATAGTGGCGTTTTTTTTCAATAAACGTCGTAACAGATTAGTACTTTAGTGGGGTTTTTATACAAATGACGTAATAGGGTTCACCTATAGTGGCGTTTTTCAATAAACGCCGCAATAAATTAGAACTTTAGCGGCGTTTTTATACAAATGTCGCAATAGGGTTAACCTATAGTGGTGTTTTTTCAATAAACACCACAACAGATTATAACTTTAGCTGCATTTTTATACAAACACCGCAATAGTGTTTACCTATAGTGGTGTTTTTTAAATAAACGTCGCAATTGTTGGAATTTATACGAAATGCTATAATAATTAAAGAAAAATATTATTAAATTATGGATTAATAACAAAAATGACATGAATTGAAGTAAAAATTATTATAATAATATTTAAAAAAATATTATACGAAATTACTCGATGTGGATTGTATATAGAAAGTACAATCTTACTTGTAAACAAAAACCCTTTTCCAGCCGATTCTTTTATGCTTTCTTTCCTCCTTTTTCCTCAAACCCTAAACTATCAAGCTATAATATGTGCTATCAAATCTTAATCTTCCGTTCATCTCCCCGTTTGACTGCGGTGCCAGGTAAAAGTTTTTTTGTTGGGTTTATAAGATTCCTTCAGTGTCTGAAGACTGTGAGCAACTAAGAAAAGCCTTTTCGAGTCTTTTCGCTTTCAATTTCTTTTATCTCCCATTTTTTATCTTATGTTTAATCTAACTATGTTAGATCTGAACATCTCAATACAATATATAATAGGATCTATCATGATTGACCCTTTTCTGCATTTATTCTGGAATTGAAAATGTTTTTCGTTTTACATTAAAAGAGATTTTTTTTCTATTTCAGTGGGAATGATCTTGCGATAATATGTTGAGATCTATGTAGCTTGTGTTTTGAAGAACTATATTGTAGATTTGAAAATTTTCAGACCCTTGTCGAAGTCTCTCAATATAGCAAAATAGAGTTTTAGCGGCGTTTTTTAGTCCGGCATTTTTAAGCGCCGCTAAAAGCACTCGTTGTGATAGTAAAAACGCCGCAAGAAGTGCTGGCAATACCAGCGCCGCAAATGTTAGCGACGTTTGTGAAATAAGAACGTCGTAAAAAGTAAAGATCTATAGCGACTGTCATAACCGTTTTTCTGAGAGGACAATCGTTTAATTGTTTTGAAAACAGTTTCGACTTTAAATTTTGGAAAATTGACGGTTTTGAATTGATTTGGGTAAAGTTGAAAAGAGTCGCCATTGACCTTTGGATTAGGTAGGTCGAATACCTAAAATCGTCTTTTAAAAAAACAATTTTAAGAAAAATCATTTTTAAGACAAAAGCTGGCCTGCGTTTACCAAAGATTCGATTAAAACGGGTTCGGGAGTCGGTTACGCGTGAGGAAGGATTAGCACCCCACAGCGCCCAAAATTGGTACTGTGTCGCTTACACGTTGTCGTAAATGGTGGAAATTATAAATCGAATACAAAGTTAAATTATGATTCATTTATTCAAATTTAATTAATTTGTTTCGAATTAGTAATTTAAAGAAAATCTTTTTTTTAATTGACCTTAATAAACTTAAAATACCAATATAGTAAAAATAGAAACTGATTAAATAACAAAAGTATAAATTTAAATTATCAAAATATCACAAACAAAAACTTAAGTATTAAAATAATAAAAACAAATATTTAAAAGATTGAAATAGTAAAAATAGAAAATTAAATAACTAAAATAAAATAACAAACATTTTAAAAACTGAATCATAAATATATATATATATATATATATATATATATATATATCAAATAAAATAATAATAGATATTTAATAATATATAACTAATAAATAAACAATATGTATTAATAAAACATTTGAAATGAACTATAATTATTTCAAATATATTAATATTATGTATAAAGTTCACATATAAAAATATTAAAAAATCCAAATAAAACAAGTAATATAAATATTAAAATAAATAAAAAAGAATATTTTACCAACATACTATATTTACATATATAACAAAGCATAAATAAATAAATAAACCAATCTATACAATAACATTAATACAATTGAAATTACTTTTCATACTTATAACAAAATCAAGTAAATTTAAATTAATTATATATATATATATATTCGAATTAATATATATATTAACACAAAACTTAAATACTAATTTATGAAGTAATATAGACTAACGAACTAAATGACTTGGTGACTAAAAACAAAATAATAATTAAGATAAAAATATAAGTATTAGACTAAAAAGAATAATGGAACTGAAACAAAACAAAATATCATTCTAAAGGACTAACATCGAAATAAACCATAAATATGCGTATGACTAAAAAGAAACATGCATAAAATTAAAAGTCAAATGTCTAAACAACATAAATTAAATAAATAAACAGTTAGGACTAAAATCAAATATGCATAAAATAAAGAGACCAAATTATAAACATGCAAACATTGATTTACAGACCAAGTTATAATGCACATAAAATATAATGGTGAAATTAAAAAATGCAGGAAATATGAATTAAGGACTAGAAAGCACTAAACTTAAAACATGCATAGCTTCCTAAGCAATAAACCCACTCACCCACAAATAAGTTACATTGAACCCGACTAAACACTGTCAGTTTGTACAAATTAACTAAAAAACTTAAGTTAATATTTAACCTAAAAACAAACAAAACACCACCTGCTTAACCTAAACTCCCATACGCCGTTCTTCTTCTCCACTTCTCTCCCCCCTATTTTCTTCGCACGAGAGCTTCAAAGCTCTACCCTCTTGCAAACCGCCACAAAAATTCGGTATCAAGCATTCCGACCACCTCTAGCAACGGCCGGTTAGCTATCAAGACCCCTCTTCTTATTTTATAATGAAATTATTTCTAATTAACACAGCTTTTTTTAGTGTAAATTTGAACGGTTATGGAGCAAATCAAGACAACTAAGGTAAATGTTTATACTATCTATATTACGCCTTTAATTTGGTTTCGATTCAAAACATACGCACACAATAAAATTATGAAAACAGAAGAGAATGAAAACTAAAAAAATAGATACCCTTTTGATTCTGTGTATTGCTTTTCGAAAGATGGAGAAATGACCCTGAATACAAACTGTTTTTGTGGGTTTTTAGAATACCCCGATTACAAGAACTATGTTTTCCTTTCGTGTTTTTTCCTTTGGCTTTTTTGCTTGCTAATGATTGATGCTCTCTCTTCTTCTTTTCTTTTTTTGTTTCATTCCAGAGCCCCCTTTCGAATACTCTCTGTTTGTTTTTTGAATCCTTTTTTTTAATGGTTGCTAATGAACCCCCTTTTATCATTGAAATTCCCTTCGTTCTTATCTCCATTGTATTCACCGAATCCCCTTGTCATCTTCTTCATTTTTCTTTGTTATTTGGTGAAATATTGACAGGTTAGGCATGATTTAGATGATACGCTCTTGACTTTGCTGATATTGTTTGTTTGTTTTTGCTGTTCGGTGGCCGACATGAGTGATGGTGATGATTCGGACGTGTTCAACAATGGCTCAGGAGTTGACGGCTGTTGAAGATATTTAGGATTTTAAAAACCTATCCTTTTAGCGATCTGGACCGTTGGATGGGTTCAGATCCAATGGCTAAGGCAAGGTGGCGCTGGCAGCTATAATTAGGGTAAAATCCTAATTGGGTTTGGGTTGATATTGTAGTGGTAAACTGCTGGTTCTATCTCCACTTGGGCTTGTATTGTCTGTAATGTAGCCTACAAAAAACATAAATTTGTATTAATAATAATAATAATAATAATAATAATTTAATAATATTTTTTTGACCCGGATAAAAACGGGTGTCTACAGTTGCCCCTCTTTGCATATTCTTGTGTTGACAAGAATAGGGCAAAGATGAAAAAGACAACCAGTTTTTGTTCGGTCATCTTTTTTGTTTAGCGTTTGATTTGGATATCCTTCGTTGTAAAGCATTGGATTGAAC